TCTAAAATTAAGCATAAACTCAAAAAAAAGGACCAAACACCATGCAATTAAGTACTCAAGCATGAAGAACATAGATTTTGCAGCCCATAAACAAGTGAATGCCAACAGTAAAGGCGTGATTCTTTCCAATCATTATTAACAATGTTCCACTTTTGCTACAACAAGAGAGGCCAGATGACAAAATACGATAAATTTTCCTTCATGGCTTGGATGAAAGCATTTGGCAGATAAATATTTTTTCTAGTGTTTGTTCTCCTACATGTTGAGTTGTTCTAAGTTTTTCTTTTCATTTTCTCTTATAGTTCAAGGTAAGTTAGCAGCACATCAATTTTATGATGAGTTCAACCTTTGTGTATATTTCTTGGTATGGATTGAGGAAAACAAATACCTTAATATATTTATATCTGTTCGCAGAAGAACAATTACAGTTTGATAACTAAAAAGTTTGATACTTATGGATGCAACATAAATTCCATAAATACATGATTTTGGTTCAGTAATGCAAAAATGAGCTAACCATACTCTAATTTCTTTCAACATTGGATCTTGAAGAATAATTGAAGTAATACTTCCTTTCAACATTGGAGCTAGCTCTTGTTTATTATAAATGTATCAAAAGAAAACAGCAGGAAAATACAAAACTAAAGGTGTTATAACTGCTTACTCCAAGCATAAAACCCCACAGGTTGGAAGAATACCACATTTAAACAACCTTAAGGAAATACTGATGTCCTGCTTATAGCTAATAATGCAGAATCTTATAAACCCCACAAATGATGATTACATATTAATTACGGGATAAAAATTTTAGAATGTCCTGAACCAAATTAGATAAAAAGATGAGTTTTATAATCCAATGATTACAATCCATCGAGAATAAAATCATTCTAACCTACTCAAAATTTTTCTTAATTAATAGTGCTAAAACAGAGAACTCTTCTTCCTATTCTTTTACATTACCTTCAGCTAAGAGAAACAATAGAAGAAAAGCATGAGCTCTGTCCTAACGTCTCTTTTCCTAATCAAGATCTCGCCTTCTTTTTCCCAAATTCTGAGAAAAGAGCTTCCCAGGAGATGAAATCCTCAAAGAAGGCGCAGAAGTATTATATTGCTAACCCAGTCTTTCATTGAAACCTCATCCTAATGCCAAAATAAATAAATAAATAAAATTTATTTAAAACCCTGCTGGCTACACAACCAATAAGTCAAGATTCCAACAATTAAAAAAAAAAAAAAAAAAAAAAAAAAAAAAAAACTAACCAGAAGAGCTTCATCAATTATTTATGAAATCTGAAGCCTCTTCCATCAATGGTGACAATCGGCTTCTCCATCTCAAAGACATGCCAATGGCAATCCAATGGAAGGCAGAATCCCGCTCGAAGCCCCAAGTCTAATAGTATCTCCTTCGATCAATTCAACAGGCATGTTAGGTTGGATTCTTACCTAAACCCAAGTCCCGTGAATGCAGCATAAAAAGCAAGCATCATGTACAGAATAAACGATGCTCGTTCTTTGCGGAAAAAGATCGAATAAGAAGAGGTCATCTTGCGAAGAAACAAACCTGAAGAGGCGATCTGTTACGAAAAAGTTTCTGCGATGAAGAATTTGGGTGAACCTCGAGATGGATTCGGCTAATGCTCGGGTGATCGACGACGATGTGGCATTCCGGAGAAGACGTTGGAGCGGAGCCGAAGAAGAAGTTGGAGGGATGAGGGCATTGCTGACAAAGAGGTTGGAGCGGAGAAGGCCGGACTTGAGGGCGACGGAGTGGAGCTGCTCGCCGGAGCGAACTCTCTCCAGAGTTGCTTGCCGGAGCGAAGTCGAACAAGAACGAAGGAGTCGAAGAAGACTATCGTGCAATGAAGCCGAACAGCACGACGAGATCGAAGCTTTTCTCCGATGAATTTATAACCGCTCATATTGAGCGGTTTCTAATCAGCAGTTTTGCCTTCCAAAATACACATACACGGCTAATGCACCCGATGATTTCCATTTGTTCCGCTCAAAATTACCCAAACAATCAAATTTAATAAATACATGTATTTGTTTTACTTTACACTCCTAATGCAAGCAACCAAACAGCCCCTAAGTGAAAGAGAGTTTTTAGGAGAGTGTTTGAGAGAGAGTTCTTGCAAGTGAAGTGTGAAGGGTTCACAAGGTTATTCAAAGGTAAGAATCTCTTTTATATTTTGGTTACTTCTCTTCGTTTCTTCTTTCTAGTTGCTCGAGAGAAGATCTTTGAAGAAGATCCAATACTTTGCCGACACTTGGAGGGTGTGAAAGGACGACGATACTCTGCCGACACTTGGAGGGTGTGAAAGAACAACGGTATTCTGTCGCGCATGGTATTGGTGAAATAGAGGAAAATTGTAAAGGCTTCTCCGCCTTGCTGTGGGGGCAAAAAGAAAGTCACTTTCGTAATAGTGCAATATCTGGAGAGGGAGTCTTTAGGAAGTGGATATAGGTCTTTTTAGATCGAACCACTATAAATTTTTTTGTTCATTTTTTATTTTTGTACTTTTATTTTTCAGTATTTATTAATTGTGGTTGAAAAGCTTGTTTGAAAAAGAAAAATCAAATGGTAAGAATTATTAAACGGTTTTCTATTAAAATTCAAGAGGGAAGTTTTAAAATTACCAATTCACCACCCCCCTCTTGGTTAGCTTTGGGACATTTGCATAAGTTTAACAACCTATCCTAACTTTACACTAACCACCTCCCTGATGAATGTTGTTGCCACTGTCACTACAGTATAGGGGTGTCGTAAGGGGATGAAATGTGCATACTTACTCAGCCTATCCACTACCACCATAATAACTGTGAATCCCTCCAATCGTGGTAGGTCATCTATAAAATCTATGGACACTTCCTCTCATACCCTGTTTGGAAGTGTTAAAGGTTGTAGTAACCCTCTGGAGCCATAGTCATGTACTTGTTCCTCTGACACACCTCACACCTTGTCACCATCTCCTCCACATCTTTATTCATCCCCTTCCAGTACAACTCAGCAGTCGATCTCCTATATGTCTTCTGTATCCCAGAATGGCCTCCAACTGCACACCCATGGAACTCATGCATTAGGTGGGGAATATGGATGGAAGTTCGCGGCATGACAAACCTCCCTTGATGTAAAAGCCTCTCCCCCTCAAGTGAGTACCCCGGATGACTACTCATATTTTTCATCAAATCCCCCCTAATGTTCCTCAACTCCTCATCCTGCATACTCTCTTCTTTGATAGCCCCCCAATCTACCATCAGTGGTACTGAAATTGCCATCTCTTGGAGCCCCCCAACACATCTTGATAAAACATCAGCCGACTTATTTTTCAAACCTGACCTATACTAGATCTCAAAATCATAGCCTAACAGTTTGAACAACCACTCTGATGCTCCTTAGTCACCATCATTTGCTCTAATAAGTATTTCAAACTCCTCTGATCTATCCTAACAATGAAATACCAACACAGCAGGTAAGAGCGCCACTTCAGAATAGCCAACACAATTGCCATCAATTCCCTCTCATATACTGATTTCAGCCTTGCTCTAGCAGATAGTACTTTACTATAGTATGTTATAGGCATATGGTTCTGCATGAGTATAGCCCCCAATCCATATCCAGACGCATCGGTCTCCACCACCAAATCCTGATTGAAATATGGGACTATGGGAGAGCTAAAACTGAGACTGTAGTCATGGCTTTCTTCAATCTCTCAAAAGCATGTCTCGCTACCTCTCCCCACAAGAAGCTGTCCTTCTTCAGTTGCTCGATTAAGGGCCAAGCTATGGTATTGTATCCCCTCACAAATCTTCGAAAGTAATCAGTCAATCCTAGGAAACCACTCAACTCTCTCAGGTTCCTAGGTAGAGGCCACTTCTGCATTGCCTTAATTTTGGTTTGATCAGCCGCCACTCCCTCTTTAAACACCACATGCCCCAAGTACTCCACACTAGCCAGTGCGAAGCTGCACTTCTTTAGGTTGGCCCTCAGCACAATATCTCATCCTAAAATTAAATCAGTATTGAATCAACTACATAACTTCTAATCTTAATTATCTTTCAATGGTATGCCTAAGGGCATAGGCTTAGAAGCTCCTCTAGATGAAGCACAATTAATAGCCTAAAAATTACAAAGTAGTAGCAGATGCATAATGAAGAACCTAAAAAATATAAAATAGTAGTGGGGGCATTTATAAGAAACAAACCTAGCAGATAAAAACCTCTAAGTAGAGTATTAACGACAAAATATGAACATAAATATAAGAAAAGCAAGGCATAGAAGTAAAAAAGGGATGCTATATCTTAAGAGTTGTAGGCAATGCATAAAAGAAAAAGTTTTCAAATATGAAAATCAATAAAGTGCTTATTATGAAGCATAATTCAGAAAGAATTATTTATACCAACCAATTATCATTATCTCCAATTGCAAAAACATCTACTTACAATAATTATCTATACATTCATAAATGACTCATCATTCATATATCGTTCTCTTTTTATATTTGTATATATTTAGTCGGTTTTACTACAACACTCTGAAACCAGAAAGACAGGCACCAATATTATTAAAATCTAATGATTTTTAAAAAGAGCCATCACTCTATAAACTCATTAACCGGGCTAACAAATATTCAACAGGATTCTATCGACAATACATTGATCATTCATATAAGCATATATTATATAAATTTATTTTATATTAAAGGATTCCTGATAAAGATATCAATATATCATTATTATAATCAAAATCTACTATATATCAATATAGTTCATGATTTGAATTAATAACTCTTTGTCAGCAATCAAAATGATGTATATAAACTTTCTAGCAATTCATGCAACGAATAAAAAGGCAAAATTAACTATCACGTCATATCAATATGAAAATGAAAAACACTACAAGTTATTAAATTAAATTCTCAATATATGATCAATAATTGATGCACACAAATATACCCCAAATGAAGAAGGATAAGTTTATCCCTTAATTAGTAAAGAATTACCCATCAAACAAAGAGCGCGAGAAGACAAGCTTTTTTATCTTGACACTGATCTTCCTTTCTCCGACAATGGTGCTCGACAAACCATTATACAAATAAAGAAAAAGACAATCCAGAGCAATGATAATGATGTCTGGATTACATATCTTCCTCAAGCCGTCCTACATCTTCCTGGTGTCAAGTCCTCGGATCAAACTCCAAGCCAGGCAGTGCAGGAAATCAGGTTCGGATGAACTTGACCTAGCATTTTGGATGATGATTCAGTATTGAATAAATTTGATTTCTTGGCCGTCTCCACCATCGCGTCCGCTGCGTGGCACTCTGCCTCTAGGCCAAGGACCTCCATCCACAGCTCCCCATGTCTCGCTGCGTCGCCTTCCCTGCGATCTCACCCTGAGGTCTTCTCTCACAAGCGAAAAAAAAAAAAAAATCCAATTGCACTCAGACAGGCTATTTTCTCCGAACAAAATCCCAAGCCTTCTTATTCAAACGTTGAGGTGTGTCAAAGCAAAACAAGCGGAAGGCTACCGCACGTACCTTGTGACAGTGGCAAGTAGATTGTTTTATGATTTTGACACATGTACTAGTTTTTACACTACACTGCTTTATTGGTTTTGTACTATACTATTTTACTGTTTGCAAACTGTACTGCTATTATATGAGAGTTTTATTATTTATACACGGATTCATGATCACATGATTATTACTAGTATTAAATTGATTAGACATGCATAGTGCTTCTTTACCGTGCTTTTGTTCAATTATAGGATTTAGTGACTCGCTGGACTTTTTAACTCATTATGTGTGGTTAACTAATTTTAGGTCATGGCAAGGGAGCATGAGTGTGAGATTGATCGAGATTTTTAAAGTTCAAATTCTTATTATTTTAGTTATTATTTTATACTCATGGCAACTTAGATATATTATGATTGTATAGATCATGAGTAGTTTACATGATTTTTTGGAAAAGGAATATATATATGTATATATTTAAGTTTTGATTGATAGATTTGTTTTCGCTGGTGTTTATATCGATAAAAGAAATTAGATAGCTCGGGTGCTGTTATTTTAAAGATTAAAGGAATAATTCTTCTAAGTTAGATTTTGGGATGTGCCAATTAGTATCAGAGCAGCTGTTATAAGAATTAAAATGTAATGAGAGCTATAAAAATTGATTGAGTTTGGTAGATTTGGTATATTAAGGTGCATTATTTTGTCTACATAATTGATTGACATTTAATTTCATTGCATAAGTGAATGAGATGTAATTGTATGAGCTATTTGATTAAATGATCTTTCGATGAGCTTTTAATTTGCTTTGAGTTTTGATCGTACGGATATATTTTATACAGACTTTGTGTCACAATCCTTAAGGGAAATGTCGCCGATGACATTTTTTAAGGTGTAGATTGTAATAATTCAAAATTTTGAAAATAATTAAAAAAAAAAATCTGAATTCCTGTTTGAATTATAGCGCATTGGAGAAAGAGATAAATTTGAAGATTTTGTCTTTGGATCATTTTGGCGTTTTTATAAAAATTGTTCATATTGAGGTAGATGATTTCAATCATATCTCCATTTTCAAATATTTTGATTTTAACTACTATTTGATTCTCTTCATAATTAATTTTATTGCATTTTTCTCTGATTTATTAAATTTCTACTACGTAACTTTTTGTATGATGTAATACTGATTATTTTGGAGATCTATAACATTTTTTTTAATTTAACCTAGTAAAATAGGAATTATTAAATTTTGTAGTTTTTTATGAATAGAAATGTGTATTTTTATTTAAGCATACTTTTAATACAAACATTTTGAATAAATATGAACATATGGTTGAGTAATAGTTGATCATTATTTATTAAAAAATGTTATGTTAAAATATTTGAAAAATAAGTAAAAGGTTAGTTTCACTAATATTGTTTGGAGACTGATTGACCTATACAATATGATGGGACGACAGACTTTCATTTAAATATTGTGATTTGGTGTTATCCTTTATTTAATCACATGATTCACTGATTGAGAGTTATAAAGAGTTATTACTGTGCCAACAGGTATGGAGTGACAAATTTTTTTATTGAGCCAACGGTTATCGATTATAATTTATTGATACTGAAAAACATTGCTTAAGTCGGGACTTCTTACTTGATTAATATGATTACTAAATGTATATTATTGATTTATTATTATTGTACGACTTTACTATTCATTATTTACTGATTTATTATCACTGTACGGATTTATTGTTTCTATTACGCATTTATAAATAGTGATGCAGATACCGACAACATCATTTATCGGTTTACTTTACAGCATTAATATTGTCACTGATACGGATACTAATGCTACTACTAGTATATTGTTACTATTATTGTTATTTTTATTGATTCATTGTATTGTTTATTGATTGATTAATATTGATTCTATGATGTTCTGAGCATATGTTTATGATATTGCATGAATATTGATATAGAATGTTATTACTGTTATTAGTTTACTATATTGATATTACTACTTGTTATTTACTATGTTGATATGATTTATGATAGCTTTTATTGATGCATTGATTCTACCAATCCATATAATTCCTTTATTGATTATCACTTATTGATGAATTGTTCTCAAGAAAATGAAATTATATTTTGTGTGAAAAGAAAAGCAGTGAAAAAGTTATTTCAAATAGACATTTAATTTAGAAATTTTTATATTTATTTATAATAAATCAAAATTGTTGAATAAAATCATAAACATAATTAATATGAATTTCTATAAAATGAAGTATATATTTTCATACTTATTTTGATATAATTAAGATATTAAAAATATAATATAAACAAAATAAATTTAAGTATTAGATATATAATACAAAAAATAATAATAAAATATATGTAAATCCCCAAAAATACAAACAGTGGCTTGCAATCGAGTAAAGAGTTGCAATGGCCTTGCAAAGCTTTTAGACTTTTAAGATAATTATTAAAAATATGTGTTCTATGTGCACATCATCAATATTTTATTTTAGAAAAAAAAAATCTTATTTTAATTCAAATATTATATTATATTGTTCATTTAAAATCATTATTAGATGTTTAAGACTCCTTTGTCAATCATTTGAAAATTAAAAAGGATAATATTACCAAAAAAGAAAAAAACTTAAATTTAGAAAGATTTAACTATTAATGCCTCTCATATAATAATAATAATATTATTATTATTTGTTTGAGAAATATGTTCAAAATTTTCCTTTCGACAAAATTATCTCTTACGAGGAATAATCTTTTGTATTCGTGAAAACTATGCCCTCCAAAATTGATCCGAACAATGATTTATGGAACGCAATCTTGCAATTAAAGTTTCGTCCGTCTCTATTGCTAGGGAAAGGGGAAAGCACTTAATGAGATTGACAACAAGTGAAAGAGAAATGGAGTCCATGAGCTCACTAGATGAAGGCATTTAGGGGATTGATGGCATGTGTAGCATAAGAGGGGCTTCTAAGGAGCTTGCTAAGGAAAAGACATCAACAGGGCCAACAATATGCGAGGGAGAAGATGGTTCATTACAATAGCTCGTTGGGGAAAGACATCAATGAGACTGACAATATGTGAAAGAGAAAAAAGGTTCATGGTAGGAGCAACAGATATGTTTGAACACAATTCGAGCAATTCGAGGTCAATGAAACCACTGAGTTCAAACATTTGCTTCAAACAACAAATCCAGAGATCGAATGATGATACAAACCAAGATTTGAATCATGGTTTGAACAAAGGTTCCAACAAGTTAAAATTAATTACTTAGGGCTTCAACTTCAATAATTAGTTCACTAATATAAGAGATTATATCCAACTGTCGTTGATTTTGTTCAAAAGAATCTTTCATGCATATTTCTTAAAAAAAGTATAAGTGGGGATATTTACTCAATTATATATATTAATGTTAAATTTTCCAAAAGGATTGGATATTTATTCAATGGTTTAATCATTTTAATGAATTTTGAGTGCAATACTCTGCTTAAAAAAAATTACTATATACAGTGCAAATTAATTAATATTTTTTAATAAAATTAAAGTTGATGAAAGTATTTATGATTTTATTCTAAGTTAAATGTCATATTGGTACTTAATTAAATTAATAGCATAAAATAAAGTATTAATTATATATATATTTCAAAACTATAGAAAAATGAAAAAAAAAAAAAATTATTAGGAACGTGATTTGAGGAATCAAACAACACAAAAAAAATTCCTCCATTTCCAAACGAAAAAGGCAAAAAAACACTGAAACAAACAAAGCCTTAAATTTTTAGAGAGAGAGAGAGAGATGGGAGAGAGAGACGGAGCAGAAAATCATCTTCTTTTTTAATGTGATTTTTCGTTCCAAATTCTCAAATGCCTCTTGCCTAGAATGAGTTCTATGATGCTTAGGCCCAATCTGTGGCAGGTGAATGAGATTTGGAATATGGAATCTGATAAGAATAGAAGAAACTTCACGTATCTTCTAACTTCTGCTATTGTTTACTTCTTATGGAAAGCGCGGAATGACAGAATGTTTGGAAATATAATTGACAGCCTTGAGACCATTACTTATAAAATTAAAAGGGCGGTTTTACACAAGACTTTCAAATGGAAATGCTTTCACCAACTACCGGATATGCTCACTTGATCTCTGCCTTTTTTGCTCACTTGATCTCTGCCTTTTTTGCTGTGGAAGGTATTCGGATGCCCCTTGGACGGCTTCTCCTTGAAACCAGGGGCTGGCTGGGTGTTTTGAAGGACGATGATGCCAGCAATCTCTTTTCCTCCCCTTGGATGGTCTGGATTAGCTGGCTTCTCCTCGGCAACCAGGGGAATTTTAGCGACCTGGGTGTTCTTCTTGCAGATTGCACTGAGTCCTTATTGCTTATTGCTTACTTGCTTATTTGCTTCGTTGCTCAATTGCTTTTTTGTTCTTACTTCCACTGTATTCAGTTTTTTTTTACAGATTTTTCTTGTTAAGCAGCAAGTGCTGATAGGGTTTTGTCAGTTGCTACATATTTTTTTATGTTTAGCATCTGATTTTCTTACTGTAACCGTTTTTTTCCTTCATTAATGATATGGGCTGATGCCCCAAATATTCCAAAAAAAATAAATAAATAAATAAATAAATTTATGATGCTATTATTGTCTATTTAAATGACTTATATTTTTTAATAATTTTCCTATAAGTCTTAATATTTTAAGAAATTGCATCATGACTCTGATAATTTTTTTGAAAAACATTTTGGGCTTTTTTGGCTTTTCTTATTTTATGATGAATGATTTATTAGCATTTATTTACTTTGAGATTTATGTTTATAAGTTGAATAATTAATAATATTAATAATTATATAAATAGGAGCTTAATCGATTTCATAAGGAAAATCTTATATATATATATATATATATAATAAGAAACGTACTATACGAATTTTGTT